AAATACGCGTTATTTTTCGTTGCCTGTCTGACTGGGGTGTCAATTAAAATAGTTATACTTCATATATTAATTCTTCTCCATAATTAATTATGAATTTCCTTCTTATAGAGACGACTTTTTATATTAGTATTTCTTCTTTTTCTTGGAAACAATTACAACTTCATGGTCATGAATGTAACGAAATTCTTTCTTTTTCTATAAACTCTAAATATAACACGTGGACATTTGCATGAATCAGAACAAAAATAAAAGATCATTAATTGAACTAGAGAGAGAACGATAGATTCGTGCTATTTTTAGTAGGACATCTATTTTCAAGACTTTTACATGGAGTTTGACTATGCCCTTTTGAGAATATTTATGACTCTTGTTCAATTCTTCTGTTCTTTTTAATTATGTGTAACTTTTATCAACTCTATACAAGATCGAAACCAATTGATATGCACACAAATTATTTTTTATTTTCTAAAAGAATTGTCGAATACTTTAAAATAGAAAATGATGAATTATCAGACTGTACCCATTTAAAGAAAATAGTTGATGAGCATTATTTTGAGATGTGGTAGTCGATGTAGATGTTAATATAGTTAATGTAGTTTTAGTAATTGTAGGAATTGTTGATGTACTTGTGATAGTTGTCAATATAATCGTAGTACGTGTCGATGTACTTGTAGTAGTTGACACTAAAGAACTACATTGATCAATTATAATATCATCGAAAGCAACAGCTGTTAATGTCGTTTCAAGTTGATAAATATCAAAATAAAGTATTATTGCACTAGCAGTGTTGCTTAAAGGTAAAAGAACTGTCTGCCATCCATGACTATTATATAATAATTGATATCATAATCCTATGTTAGGATTTTCATCACTAGATAGACGAATCATTGTTGTGTTTTTATTAACTACTTTTGATTTCACATGATAGGCAAATTGAATACACATTCCATTATTTTGTTCAATTGTTTTTGATAGATACACACGACCTTGATCACTTGCGTTTACTGGCAAATATTGATTCCAATAAAGAAAACCATCAGATGTTGAATTACTTGTATGATCTCGAACTGGACCAAGTTCTTGATCAGGTATTGTATTACCAGTATATACCGTAAAATTAAATATAGAAATCTTTGCATAATTAATCATGTCACACATTGTCAAATTATCAAAATTACATGAGAAAGAGAGAAGAGAATTGTATGGCGTGGATGAAGGTAAATATTCACATGGAGTAATATCAATATTATCGATAGCAAACGAATATTGAAAAGGATTCTCAGTATTAATACGAAAAAGTAGTGAATAATTATCAACTGGTAAATTAATAATACCCCAAGACCTATTATAGAAAAAACTGTTAGCGCAATCCCTTGCGGGATTAAAAATGTGAAACACGATGTAGCTGTTATAGCCGATGTTTTAATAACTATTGATTTTTATGGAGAGTGTGGGTGTGGGCGTAGGTATGAGTGTGAGTAGGTATGGATGTAGTTCTTCTTTTAACCCACACCCCTATTCTTACTCCCGGCGGATATGAAATACTGATACTGAAAAATTGATCTAAAGTAAAGGATTCTTCGTCCTTGCACGTCTAGATTCAGAAGAGCTTGATGAAACTTATGAGTTCTATCGACTTTCTATCTTGGTAAAGCATTTATAAGAGCACATACCTGTCTCGATCTTCCTCGATCTCAACTGATCCTGATCGCGCTTGGTCACGTTCCTGGTTCTGAAGCTGTGTAGTTGTGTTTCTATTGGGATGCCCATATGGACAATCGATTCTACGGCAGCGTTGCAAGAAAAATCCACTTTGATCGAAACTAAACATAACGACATATCTAATTGATCTAGAACATCGCGTTTACAATACTCATTGATCGGGAGAATTACGATGATATATCGCACTTTGTACTACTGCAATCACACTGAATTCCGATTGATTGCAAAGAAAGACATACAGAAAGTTTTTTGTGAGTCAGACCCTTTAGCAACCTTAGGAGTCGATATCTATGATGAACAAATTTTGCATCTCATAGACTATTTATTCGAAATCCCCACCACACATGACCCCCAGAAAACCAATTTCCCCCAAACTCGATTCGTATGTGACACGAATCACCCAGTAGAGCCACAAATGCTCCAGTAGGGTATCGGGTTCCATAGACTTCCGATCCCTGATGTCCTTGCTTCCATTATCCAATGATATTCGTTTTCCCAAAAACTCAATTCCTATTGGTTTCGGGCTAACCCATAAGATTTTGAGGTGATTGGATCTCTAATTTGAACTCACGACCTCTGGAAGCCTCTCCCTGACTTTTTTCCCGAAAACGCAAGTTTGATTAGCTGGTTTCGTAGCAGCTGAATTCCTATTGGTTTTCGGCCAACCAATCAGATTTCGAGGCAAATGGACCGCAGATTCAAGCTCAACTCCCTCGAAAACCGCTAGGTATGTGTCTTGTGCTTGCTCATCATGTGCTGTTCAGTAGTACTCCGATACTACCAAATACTGCAATCTGATTGGTAAGATACATAGGTAGGTCCGTTGTAGGGGGAGGATCGGTATTTTTTCGACAAAAAGTAGACTTCGACCTTCCTCTGGATGAGAGGAAAGCTCCTGAAAAGTTTTTGGTCCAATTCCTCGTACCGTGTTGAAATGCATAATGAACAGACAGACAAACTTTCTTCTTTATATATATAGAAAGATATAGATTCACACCAAGCGTGAGAAAAGGTATGGTAATAGTAGGATGTGGCTTTTCTAAAAGTAGAAGAAAGAAAACTCTCCAACATTTTTCAACAATCGGTAAAAAGTGCAGTCTATCATAACCTGGGTGAAATTTCACCCACACACCCACGCGGGATGGCCCCATCATGACCGTCCCCTGGGCGAAAGGGTATACCATGCAAAGTTTGGTCGCATTTGCTTGTACCCTGTGGAAATGCATAACGAACAGACAAACATTCTTCTTTATATATAGATTTTAATTTCCAATCGAAAAAGTCCATATGAAATACAATCAGATAACCTTCATCTAAAACCTGCAGCCAACCTCTATCGGTAAGTAGAAAAATGATAGTCGTGTCACTGAAGAGAAATCCTGCGCCCAGCATTGTCCAAGTATTTTCTGTTGAGAATTCAATGTTTAGAAAATAGAATACAGATATGAAAAGAATAACGTCCGAACAAAATAAGAGAATATCAGTTGATAATTGACACCAACAACAAATAGTAATAAAGTCTTATTGCATCGCTTGCTTAGCTTTCTGTATTAGAGAAAGTAATATGGGTCGATATTCGGTAGATCGACGATCCTTATCATTAGGACCTGTAAGAGTATCATACTTGACGGCGGTGTCTGCAAGTTCCAAAGCAAATTCAAAGTATTTCAAAGCAGCTTCAAGCTTGTTTGTATTTAACAGAACTTTTCCATCTTCTTTTAATATGTTGCTCATATCTCGGCAGAGTCTTATCAACAGAGTTGTTTCATGATCGAACATTTGAATATTCAAGCCATCATTAATACATTCGATACCCCAATCACGATGGGCTTCCATATTTCCACAGAAAACATAATATGATTCAAGTTGTAATTCTTTTTCAATAATTTGAGGGACGATTTGTCTGCCCAACGTTGCTGACGAGATGAATATAACTTTCCTGAAACCCATATTGTTTTCAATGAGTTCTAATGCTTCTTCTTGTGAATCAGTAAACAATATTGGAGCACTGTGTTCGCGTATGGCACAAATAAGATCATCAATTGGATCATGTGGTATCGGTGGAACAGTTGCTATTTCTACAAGACCAACCTCGAAATCTTCCTTCATTTTCCGACAGTTATTTTTTGAGCCAATATGAGCATCAAGCCAAATAATTATATATCCTGATTCGAGAGCCATTTTGTTGTTATTATTGTCCTTGCACGTAAATCAATCAATGCAGAATGCGAGCAACTTTTTTTTTCTATTTGGACACCTTCATTGTGAAAAGAACGCAAGATCGTGGTAAAAGGCAAACATGCGTTCACGACGAGTCATGTATATTCACAACAGAGAACGAAATATTTTGTCGCGTTCTGTGCGTGCATGGTGGAATTTTCCAACTGAAAATCAGATTTTTCTTCTAAATGATTCACGCGCAACTCTTACTCACTTTGCATTATGAAATCAGTTTGCCGTAGACAAATTTGAAGGACTCTGTATTGAAAAAAATTACTTTAGTCACCTTACGAAATATGTTCGTTCTCAAAAATATCGCTTAAAGTCTTTGAAAAAACTGTGTCAAATTAACTTATAATATACAGTTCGATGCATCTCCATCTCCTCTTTCCAATGGTGAAAACCGCAGCTCTTTATCTTGCTTCTATCAAAAGTTATTCAAAAAATATCCACTCGCCTTTTATTTTTAAATGCGCAATAGTTTTGGAAAAATCTACGTATTCGTGACCGTGACTAAGTAGTTCGTGACCATGTCTAAAAATCGTGGTTACGCAGGTCCCTACTTCTGACATTAATTCAAATCTAATCGACAATGAACTTATTACTAAATGTATGATTCTTCGTCGTTTACATATTTATCTTATTTTTCGTTCTTTTATTGAACATGTATCCGCTCTTGAAATTCTCTCAGTTATATTCAGAGATTCGTTGGCTAGTCAATGGTTACATCAGATGAAGATTGAAAATTTTACGTCAACTGTTATCAGTTGGTATGATAAGGTGAAATAAATGTAACATACTGTAACGATTGTTTAATATAGAACAAAATAGATTAATCCTTACATTAGAGTTCGAACGACTGATATTTCATTTTTTCTTGTAGAAACAATACTTATCGTCTTTTCATCGATAAAAAGAATTTCATAATTCTCGTTTTGTCTGAAGGTATTCGAAAAATAAAAAGTCTACTAATAGCTGTCTCTCGTTTGTTAGGTTCTGTTGGATGATTTATATAATGAAGAGAGTGGTGTCACATATCCAGAATCTCGGGCACGCTGGAGAAGTGTAGGGAGATGCGAGAGAAGTGCAATCTAGGAAGATGCAAGAGAAGTGCAATCTAGGAAGATGCAAGAGAAGTGTAGGGAGATGTGGGAGAAGTGTGGGGAGATGTGGGAGAAGTGGGAGAAGTGTAGGGAGATGCGAGAGAAGTATCTGGAGGTGTGGGAGAAGCGTAGG